AAAAAAAAAAAAAAAAAAAAAAAAAAAAAAAAAAAAGGAAGCGCGACAGCGAAACTTGAAATGGTAAAAGATAGTCGGGCGACCGATGCACCAACAGGAATTCTATCGAGATTTATCCGTTTTTTTCCCTACGAAAAGAGAAGAATGTTGTACAAAAGGAGATTAAGATAAAGCGGAAGAAAAAAGGTGTAGAGGAAAACTGAGGAAAAAAAAGAAGAAGAAGAAGAAGAAGAAGAAGAAGAAAGATAGGGAAAAAAGGAAAAAGAAATTCGAGGCCCGAGGCACGCTCGAGACGCGGAGAGAACGAGCCTGCTTCGTTCGTGCCTAAAGCGTGTTCGATTTCTCGTGTACTTCATCGTCGCCTATTTTTATCTTTCTGCTAAGTTACGTGCAGCATGCCAATGCGAACCTGTCGCTGCGTGGCGAAACAAAATCGAGCAATCGTTTCTTTCCATTTAACTCTCTCGTTCTTATCTTCCGGTCGCCGAGCCGGCGCAAACAAGGAAAACGAAAAATAAGGAAGTAAAGCGGAAAATTAGTAAAGCAGGAATCTCCGGATAATCTCTCGTTTCGATAGCGACTGTGATTTGCCGTTGGTAAGGTCGCAGCTAAAGCAAAGAGGATCGATCCACGGCATGTCCCGTAACTTCACCGAGTTCCTGTATTCAAACTTTCTCAGTTCCGCCAAGTTTCTGCATCGTCTCGACGTTTTTCCTAACCCGATTCGAGGGACGAGAAGAGAAAAGGAGCGGAGGAGAGGAAAAGGCGGGAAAGGGAGGAGGGAAAAAGTGAGACAAAAGAGAGGAAAAACGCGCGACAGAAAGACGGCAAAGACTTGGCGATCGACCGTAGAACCACGACGAAGGAAACCTCGTCGAATCACACTAGTCGGAGATACCTGCGTCAAAAGTATATACACTGGAGGAAAGAAAACAGCTGAAAAGGAAATTGGACAATTCGGCAGCGAGGGCGAATGCATCGTGCTGTACGAGCGTAACGAAGAACAGTTACTATTCTGTATAGGGATAAAACACGATGGCTGTGTTACATTTTCCACGGAGTTACTAAAGGGTTGAGGGAGTAATAATGAGCGCGAGCTGCGAAAGAAGAGGGAGGAAACTTATGAAACGGAGTGTGTCGGATCGCTATTTTCATAGGTGTAGATACGCCGAGATCGTAGAAATATATTTCTCGTATCGCGGAAATTTCTGACATCATGGGATGTGATGCCGCACATTGTACACATATATAATTGTAGAGGGTAAAGAGAATACTTGTAAATTAAGAGGAGTAACGAGAGCGGGAGAGGATGAAAATTCGTGTCGACGACGTGTTGTGTAGCTAGTAAAGGGAACGAAAGAGGCATGTAAAAAGGAGAATATTAAGCCTGTAAACGTGTGAGCAGAGAGAAAGAGACAACTGGAGTGCAAGGGAGAAACTTGGGACACACACGGACAGAAGCACATCTACACACACCAGCTAAGAAACACTGCCAATACAATACGAATGTAATTAAGAAATCTAGGCTAATTGGTCGATTAATTATTCTTACTATTATTATAAATCTTACGATTAAATGTATAACGCGATAGATCTCTAGTTGCCGCGAATGCGTAAGTGGCGTCACGATTGCTCCGTGCCCGTGCGTGCGTCAACTGTTCACCGAACAAGAGTAAATATCGATGCTCGCTAGTTTCCTTTGTAAAAGCATCGACGAATATATTCGGTGGCGTTTGCGCGTACCAGCGACGGGGCGATCGCGGACGAGCGTGTAAATAGTTAGTTGAAATTATCGATAAATCGCCTGGGTGGTACGGGTCACCACCTTTATCCCGGGGATACAAGCCGCCGAGAGGGCGAAGCACAGCCTATCAGCTTGCGATTCCAAGCGAGAAAGAGATTCACTTTTTAATCGGAACTCTCGTTCCGGGACACGCGTGTGCGTGCGTGTCGAGCGAGGAGGACGCCGCGGTGAATTACGACGGGGGCTGGCTCGGCTCGCGGGTACGGGCACAGCGATTCGCGCGCGAGAAGGAACGCCTCACTGCCAAATATCGCGCACTGCCAGCCGTTCAAATGCCGCGGTAGCCCGTACACCCTTAGAGCCTTATTTCATTCGCGAAACATCGCGCTTCTATTTTACTAGTTTCCAATTTTCCGCCTCGATCGTTGCCCCCCGCGCGCCCAGCCAGCCGCCCCACTTCGTCGTTTTTACTTTCGATCCTCTCTTTTATTTCCCAACGTGCATCGAAAGCGCGCTCTTACTGCCAGTCTGACGACAACGGACGCGAAACCAAGGCACTGCCAGCGAAACATAACGCGAAGCAAATCTCGATCACGTATATGTAAACAAGCGAATCACCGTTCAACCTTATACAGAGACCATCGATTCCGTTTCGCGCGCGCTACGTATTCTGTCTGTTTTCCTCTTTCATTGCTCGCCGACACGGTTTTCCTCGTTACCGTTCCAGGCTTTTTACTTTACCCGCCTCGTTCTCGCATCTCCTCGCCAGTGCCGTACACGCCTCGCTGTTTGTGCATAAATTATCTCACCTCTGCCACGCGATTCTAATTTCGTTTGCCTGTAGAATACCACGTTAGCTTCAGCCAAGTGCCGATACCTTTTGTACTTTGTATTTGAGCTAAATGTCGCAAAATTTGCTAGAGATTCGAGCTTTAAGATTCATTTACGATTCCTCGGGATGTAACGCGACGGTGTATCGACAGTGTTGGCGAGGATGCGATTTCGGGGATGAACTCGTGTCTTCGAGATGTCCGTTGAACTGCCTGCTCTTAGGGGTCTCGTGCAAAGTAGCTGCGCGTGGGCCTGATCGATGTGATCGTTAATAGCTGTCGCTAGGCATAGATCGCTTCGAGGATGACAGGGACGAGGTGTCGGAATTCTGGTTTCTCGGTTTTCTAAACGAAAGACGATTCTCGCTCCTGCTGACTTCTTCCTCGTGTTCGTCCCGCGCTGGTGTCGTTCGTCGTGTTCGTGTTCGTTTGATTTATCTCGTGGCGTGGTCGCGATTCGATCGACGTTTCTCTCGCTCCACTCTCGTCGCGTTTAGATCCTTGGATCGCGTCTCGGATCGTTAGGGAAGGTAGCTCGATAATAAAAAGTTATTATCACGGGTGGGACCAATTTCTCTCGCGCGGGAACTCGTGTTCGTGCAACTTTTACTTTCTCTCGCAGGGACCGAGGTTTCTTCTCTTTCTTTTCTCTGCAGCATTGCCAAGCGTCCCGGAGCGCGCATAGTCGTAAAGCATCGTCGAGTTATCGATTAGGTTTAGAACGTCGCGACGTTGTTTAGATAGAAGTTATTAAGTTTACTTCATACGATTAGGTGTAATTGTTCGTTTGCTTCGCGAGGGTGGATCGGCGGGAGAAACCTCCGGCCATTCGATCACGCTTGATCTCGTGGCAGTGAACCGAAGTGGGCGGAAAATTTCGACCGATGTGAATTTTTACATACCCATGGTTTTCTCTCTCTTTCCCCGAGCTGCCCCCAAAAATTTCCATTCTCTTCTTACATCGTAATCGTCGTAGTTCGCTTCGAGAAAGACTGTGTCCGCATTTAGCGCTTAGGGTCTGATATTCTTGTGTGGTTCTACGAGAAAAATGGAAAAAAAAAAAATGAAAAAAAAAGAAGAAGAAACGAAAGATCGGAGAATTCAAAGCTGTTGCGACTGTACGACTAGTTTTTCCGATGATCGATCCCGTTTTGATCATCAACGCGAAACATTCTCGTTTCTCTGAACCATTTATTACCGGGACAGAGTGAATTCCGCAAAAAGGCAGAAAGAAATCCGCGATTTACCGAGGAAAGTTCTGTATCGCGAACTGAAAGAGGCAAAACACGGAGACGATAGGGGGGAGGAAGAAAATTGTTCGCGTACGTCTTGCATTCGGT